TTTTTGAAAATCACCGGGGGGGGGGGGGGGGGGGGGGGGGGTACACGCGGTTCTGGGTAGTCCAAAACCAAGACGAACTGGGGGAAGACTTTGAAGACGCTGGCTCGGCAGCTGCCTCGGAAGCCGCGCCATCCCTCGCGAGCAACGCCAACGCTGGAGTAGTAGAGCAACGCTGGAGTAGTGCCACAGGATATTCCGACCAAGTACCCTTGACATTGCTCTACTATAACATACAAGTATCTCATCGCCAAGGAGAGGTCTGGGTACTGCTGCTGCGTTTGTCGAATTGCTCATATTCGCGGCGAGATTGGGGGGTCCGCGCAAGAATCAATTCAAAGCACGCTGACGTCGCTGATTCGAAGTGAAGACAAGGAAAAAAAAAAACGCCGCAGGCCCGCCGCCCGGTCTCATTTGATTGGTGACACGTGAGGCCGCACACCCGCCGCTGTAGCATCGCAGGAAAGTTGCGTAAGAGTCAAAGGAAGGTAGTTTGTCGCTGGCACCATGGCCCTTCTCTTGCCACCCCGTGGCGCTGCAAGGGCGGGATCGCTGTTGCCGCTCGAGATTTTCCACGGAGTGGCTGCATCGGCGGCGGCTCCCGCCCATGCAGCGCCACCGGCCCGCGAGAGATGGTCCATGGTGCCAGCGACAAACCACCCTTAGTTGACTCTTATGCAACTCTCCTGCGTGCTACAGCAATGGGTATGTGAGCTCACGTGTCACCAATCAAACGAGACGTGGCAGTCAACTTGCGGTATGCCTTGAAAGAATTCATGCGCGGAGCTCTCAATATCGCTGAGAAAATGAGCACTGACAAACGCAGCAGCGGTACCCAGACATCTCCTTGGCGGCGAGATGCTTAGGGAATGTCCAGGGTGCTTCGTAGGCGTGATATGCGGCATAAAAACAACCATGGCCGCCCGTGTGGCCGTCTGCTGTGTGACCTGCGTCTCCAAACCATACCAAAATCGTGTCATAAAAATCGACGTACACATGTTTCTTATCCCAAACCAAAACAAGAACAGTAATAGCACGCACGCAGAACACACACGTCAGTTTTACGCACAGCACCGCACTCATCATTGGCGGACCCATTGTAATTGAGTGTACCTTTTTTAGGGTAAGTTAGCCTGCGACCACGGGAATCGACCGCGTCGAGTGTTAGACCAGTACGGACACATTAAAGGTACTGGATAGAGAGATCGGAACGGTTTCTTCTAGTGTGAGGACAACACAACAACTCACTACACTACGCGTCGATCCAATCACAACGGGAATACAAAATAATCGCGGTGGCCTCACTTGCGAGCCGAGGCTCCGAACGTGTTTGACATCGTCAAATTGTTGGCGTCCACGCTGTGGACGAGTTTGTTGCGCATGGCGGCGATGGAGCGTATGCGCTGCTGCGTGCGAGGGTCGATCCTGCGGTCCGTTCTCAACGAAGATAGCAACTCGTTCAGCCCGTTCCCTGGGAAAGTAAGAAAGGACCACAAACACGACATCGGCCGGTAGCGTAAGGCGTAGGCACGTGTGAAGTAGGAGGGACAGGGGGCCGGAGAGGACCACAACCCATCAAGCCCGAATTTGCGCGAAGCTGTAAGCGGGATGTTCGATGGAAAGCTCACACGCGACGAGACAGCAGCAGCAGCAGCGACAGCATCTGTAACAGCAACAATACCACACCGGTCGTGTTCAGACGGAGGAGACGCAGCCACAGCAGACGAAAAAGAGACACTAATACTACGCGGCGTCGTGCCTCACCGCCAAAGGAGCACAAGACAAGCACCAGCGTCGCGCGGGCTAGCCCGCTCACCGCATAAGTCACTAGGAGAGGGTGGCGTGCATAAACACAGGCTTTAACAGACCCAAACAAGCGCAGCACCCAGCACGTTTTCTCAACATTCACCGCTGCAACGACTTCAACACACTCCTTCGAATGGGCCATGACATTTTCTGCGAGTGTGTATACTTTCACGACATGCAACACTTCGCTGCCTGGTGTTTGCAGCCACCAATGCTCCTTCTACAGTACATTCTCTTCTCACCCGTTGCGTGGAACGAGTCCCTCATGATTTTCTCCAGCTCCTTGGTGCGCGTCACGACCAGCCCGATGTCGTTGTACGCGTTGTTCTGAACCGCGTCCCCGTCCGCCCGCCCGCCCGCCGCCGCCGCCGCCGCCATGACGCCCGCGGCCGTCCCTAGCACCGCCGCCGGCGCCGCTGCCGGCGCTCCTCCCCGTACACCCCCACTCGCGGCACCGCCGCTGCTGCTTTGGAGCATTGTCAGCACGCCCTCCGTGAGGGTTTGGGGAGCACCGGCGATGGCATCGGGGCGAGCGTGCTCTGCTGGTGTCGCCGTTGCCGCTGAGGCGAGGGCGTCCGGTCTTCCTAATTCAAACTGCTGCTGCCGAGGATACAACGCATGTTGAGGTTGATGAACATGCTGATGCCCATGATGAGGGTCATAGGCCGCTCCTGGAGGCACCAAATCATATCTATCGCCCCCTCCCCGGGGGGGTGGGGCAGAAAGCAACGGCGCCCTTCCGGTATTGGGCAAAACAAATCCGGATTGATGTGAGTGATAGGGTAAGCCAGCGCCGCCGAGCATCGTGCCGGGCGGTGGCGGTGGCGTTGGTCCTCCTGCAGAATAATGTAAAGGTTGGTGGTGACCGTAATACGCTGCCGCCGTAGCCGCCGGCGGTTGCGCGTAGGCGTTATGGTTGCCGAAGGCCGGCTGCAGCCGCCCCGCGTGGAATTGGCCGGGCGTTGACGTCGTAGCGGCGGCTGCTACCAAGTCGGTCGCGGCGGCCCCCGGGTGGAGCACCGCTGGCGGCTGATGTGGTTCGTTTACATGCCGTCGGGTGTGCTGCACAAGGCGGTGATGCGATTCGTATGATGGTGTCGACGCCGATAGTGTCGACGCCGGATTGTCGGATATTGGCCGGTCATCTTGGGCACCCCCAACCAATACTCCGCCCTGCCGCTGCGCCGGATGATGTTGTTGTTGAGCATCATCAGCATGTATATTCGTGTCATAATCACAACCCTCCTCGAGTGTTGTTATTGTTGTTGCTGCCGAAGCAGCGGTAGCCGCTTCCCGCTGCCCTATGTTTTGGTTCTCGTGCTCCGGTGGAGGAGACGGCGGTAGCGAGTTATCACGCCGCTCGGCGGTGGGGCCGCTGCCGCTGCTGGGGGGCTCCTTTGCTGACGGACTCGACATCATCCTCGCATTTTTCTCGCCCTCCTCTGCTGCTGCAGCAGCAGCGCCTGCCGCCGGCCCACCGTGCAGCACGGCGGCACTAGCCGCCAGCGACCGGGAGTATGTTGGTTCAGCAGGAGGGTGATGATGCCCCTCTTGCTGCTGCTGGAACGACGTCACGCTGCTTGTTGAGCTTGGGAAGAGGGTGACTGCTGGCGTCTTGTCAGGAGGCCCGATTTGAGGAAACATGCGTGATTGGGTCTCCTTCGCTGCTGCTGCTTCTGCCACCGATGCGGGCGGGGACGGGGGCCCTCCTCCCGCGGGGGTCGCGTCGGAGGAGAAGCACGCGGCCGGCGCTGGACTTATCGAACCCGTGGTAGCTTCCGACTGCGAACGATCATCATCGCTAACCGAGTCACACCCCACCTCCTCGCCCCTGGGTAGAAACAAGCCCTCGAGACTGGTCACCTTGGGTTCGGTGGGTGCTTCGCCTCCGCTACCCGCAGACGCCTGCAGCGCTACCTCGGAGCCTTGCGGCGGTAGGGTTCCCACTGCAGTGCCCGGTAGCTCATGATTCGGTAGGACTGGCGGCACGGTAGCGGCGGGGGCTGCCTGGTTCATGTCATGTCTCTCCCGGCGCGCCTGCTGGTCGGGGCGGGAGGTCCCGTCGTCGCTGTTGTCTTCTGCCGGAGAACTCGAGCTGCCCGTGCCCCTTGTTTCTCTCGCGCTGTGCTCTGCAGCGGTGTCGTGATCCATGAAGGAGTCTAGCGGAAACCACCAGGTTCGCGGCACCGCCTCAACATCAATGCGGGTCGCTTTGTCTGGGACGCTGACTGATTGCACCAGCCAGCAGCCAGCCAGCCAGCAGCCAGCCCTCTGAACGGGGGCTCCGCCGTTGCCCCCCCCCCCCCACTCCAAATTCAATAGAAAATAACTGTTCTCAGAACTGGCGCCCACCGACTCTACCGGAGTATCTTCCTGCACACAGGCAGGGGTTCGATATCTTTTATCTGAGACATCAGGTTCACAACAGCAGCAGCAACAGCAGCAAAAATGATACCGTATATGAAACAAAAAAACACACCCCCCTGGCCGATTTTCAAAACTCAGATTTCTCCACAGCAGGAAGAGTCACAGCGCCCAAAACGGCGGCGTTGGAACCGTCTCGTCGAGAGCTGTTCGAAAACGTATTGTTTCATTTATGCATCCTCTTCGTCGTGGAGTAATCGAGCTTTGAAAATCGGTCCAGGGGGTGTGTTATCTTGTGTCATATACGGTATGTTGGAGATACTCTTCGTTAAATCAGCCGGACGGGACTCTCGAAGGAAGGGACTCATCAATCATTGTCTCGTGTGAACAATAGTACCCGCCCGATGTGTGTGCTTCAGCAGCAGCATCCCCCCCGACGAGCGCGTCGGTTCTCTTTGCTCTTCGGTTCTCCTTGCTCTGCCCAAACGGCACAGCCGTCCCCGTCGATGGCGACTCTACATCTTCTGACGAAGCAGCAGGGGGCCACCGTTCGCAAACCTTCCCCCAACAGCTTGATTCAAGGGGCGTTTCAACCCGATCGAAAGGGTACGTCCATCGAGCGTGACCCGCCCCCGCCACTCTGGTCTCTCTGTCCCGCCGTCGATGAAACTCGCCGCACTGCTGAGCACAATCGTGTTCACGACGGTTTATCCTGAAAGCGGACTTTTGTAGTCCGAAAGATGTGCTGTAGCTCGAGCCAAGGCAAGAGTCATCGGGTACCCGTCGTCGAGAGTCCACGATAAGGATCCCATCTCCCCAACGCCCGTCGAGCACGATTCCCTCTCGTTTCACATCAGATCAACCGGAACAGAAACAAACCAAGCGATGAGACGAAGCGGTTTGCAACCCTCTTGTCAGGAGTGTACGCCCGAGTTCGCTGAGAAAATACCCCTACACACAAACGCCTTCTGTTCCAGGAATGGAGCTTTCATCATCGAGCCACAGCAATATTTTCTTTCAACCCTCCCCCTCCGCGTCTTGTTGCTGTCTTTCGTTGTCCTCAGAACAAGCGAGTGAAATCAAGCAAACCGGGAGGTGGATACAGAGAGACACCTACTACAGCAGTGAACTGACAGCGAACTGCCCCGCGCGCGTGTGTAGAAAACTGTGCCTTGGGTCCTGGGGGACTAAAGCCTTTTCTTGACGTAGCCCTGGAGGGAAAGTTGCGCTGTGCTGACCGGCGACCCTAGATTTGAGGGAACAACAGTTTGAGGAGAACTGCGCCGCTGACTGACAGCTCGTGGAGGGCAGGTAAGTCGACAACCCAACCGTTACCGCTGTATGTCTTCTCAAGGCAGCTATGTCATACCGATCAGCTGAAATTCCTTCCACCAGCGCTCACTCGTTACAGCGAAACTGCTTCGTTCTCCCTCGGCGCGGCGGTGTCGACATGTACCAAACGCCTTCGCTTTAATCACCATCGAAGAATATGAAACCATCCATCGTGGCGCTGCGTGTAGATGTCTACGTGGGCGGAGAAGCCACATGTTATCAGAGAGAGCATGGTTGATGTGGCGCCGATTCGTTTTACGGAAGAGCTGATACGGATAATCATCATGTCTCGGTGTGTGGAAAGCGAGGAAAACTTCTCGCCAGAGGGTCCTATAGAAGCCGAAATCAAACCATTAGACTACCGTATATGACACAAGATACCACCGGTACATAATAAGATACCACACCCCCCACAGAATACCACACCCCGGTGGTAATTTTGGGCGTTTCTGACAAACCATCGATTTATCACCGGGGGTACATAAGATAACACACCCCGGTGATATTTTGGTTGCGCCGCATACATTCACGGGGGCCCTCCCTTCTTATCACCCATCACCCGGGTGATACAGCATCTGCCCCTGGGCATCACACACCAGTAGTTTTTGCAGTCTGTTAGTGACTCTTCCTATCTAACGGCTTTTACGCCCTCTGATTGGTCCGGCGTTGGTTCCTAGCCTTGACCCTCTCCAGCGCCCTCTCGCCGTTCCGCATTCCGAGAACGCGGCTGCGCCGCGTTCTCGACCAGTTCGCGGCCGCTAGGCCGTGCTTTGGCCGTGGGTGAGGGTTAGGGTTAGGGTTAGGGTTAGGGTTAGGGTAGATGTGGGGTGAGGAACCTAGCCTTGCTCGCGTGAGGAACCTAGCCTTGCAAAGTGCAACATCGGTTAGTCCTAAAGAGTCACTAACAGAGTGTAAATAGACCTCTCACACACACAGCCACGGCATCTGTGTGCGGGGAAACACCCCGCATGGAGACCCCCAACAACATGAACGTGCAGGCAGAACAGAATGCAGCCGCAAGTGCCTCCGCTCCTTCGACAACTGCTTCGACTGCAGCAGCACAGGCGCCTCAGCAGATCACCTCCTTCTTTGGACGCGCGCACACTTCTTCTGCGCAAGAGGCTGCTGCTCCTGCGCCTGCTGCTGTTGATCTAACAGCAGCAGGAGCAGCTGGCGCAGCAGCAAACGCCAACATGTCACACCCTGCATCGCCTCAGCAGCAGCCAGTTGCGGGCTCGCTCTCAGCAGCACGTACGAGCACCGCAGCAGACGAGTCAACGCGCACCAGCCAAGCATCTCAGGTGGTGGTGGACATGGTGGACGAGGAGCCCAGCACCTCCGTCGGCACGGAAGAACGATCCAAGTGAGTGTAAATGCGCTTCGTGAATTTGGCTTAGTATCAGTCCGCGTGTGGTCTCGAAGCGTGCAGTGGGCTTGGCTTTTACGCCACCCGCACACTCCAGGGTTCGTGTAATTTTTTCACATTTTTTCAAAAAAAAAATGGCGCCCGCCACACGTTCGGTACAAGTATACATTTTGTAAATTAATTTGTAAACTGTTCTGTGGTAGGCCTGTGTAATTTACCTAAATAGGTGTTTTTTTGTTTGCACCCCACATTTTTTGCAAGATATTTTTTGGGTGCATGCGCGTAGCTTTCCCCCACACGTCCCCGGTAAATGTTTGTGTTAATTTATGTGCCCGTGTTGTGACTTGTGACGCGTGTAGTACTTGTACGGAGTATAGTTTTAGCCATACGTTCGCGGCATTGTATACATTTTCAG